GAAAAGAAGGTAAATGAAAGGATTCGCCAGAGAACACAGGTGAATGAATGGGCTACAGTGAGTCAAAGAGGTAGAGCTAACCACACTGTGGTTAGCTAACCCGACAGGATTAGTAGGGTTAAGCTAGAAAGCTAGCTGGAGACTGCCCAACATAAGGCCTAAGCTTTAAACTATATTAAAAGACTCCTTGTCATTGTTTTCTGCTGTTGAACCTGAGGAAGTCCTGCTATAATTATGTGGCATTTCAAGTGAAGGAATACTTGGAAGCATCTGTTGTCCAAATTAGCAGACTGGGTCCGGATGTCATTCATTGACAGTTGCATGAGGTCCTGGTTCATGTGTAGTCACTGCCTTGGGTCCTGCACCATTTTCTGCCTGCCTGTCCTCTCAGGACATTCCCATGGTTCAGCAACTTGGCTTGTTCAGTGAGTGCTCATCAAGAGCCAGGCTCAATCTGGCTAGCAGACTTCATCCCGCTTGCTCCCAGATGCACACTATACCCTGTCACACATCAGTCTCATATTTATATTCCTAAATCGATGGAAAGTTTAGCTAAGAGAAGTTAACATGCTCTGTTTCAGAGCATCCTCAAACAAAACAGTTACACTGCATCTCTTTTTCTCAGAAAGCTTATAGGGAAAATTAAAGGAACCTTCAGTCACTTAAAAAAAAATAGCCATGCTATTAGTGTTCTGTAGCCAGCTAGCTGATTCAGTGCTATGAAACATTTAAGATAGAAACAAATACAGCACAGAATAAAAGGAAACCTGTGTGCGCATCATTGATTTGAATACGCTTTGAAAGATAGGATGAAATCACCAACTTCTGATGCTCAGCCAAAAAAGATTAAGTGGCTCCAGATGTCACAGCCACATATCCAAATGTTAACATCACGTCTTAAAAGTGGACATTATTAAATGCTGGAAAGGTGTCTGTGGGACACATCAGATGGTTTAATGTATCAAGAATGGGATGTTCATTTGTATGTCAAGAAGGCAGTGAATCCAATGCCCTTGTGTTGCTGTGAACTTGCATAAACTTCCGATGCTTTACCATCGTGATTCTATGGTGTAAACATATATTTCTATGGTGTGAACTTTTCTGATGAGTCTACAGCTATGAGGTGGCAAATGGTAATATAATAATAATAAATAATAACAAAAGGAATACAGCTCTAATGTTAATACAATGCATAACACTAGACCCTGTACCTGTTTCTTAGGAAGATCATTTAAAGCATGTGACTCTCCCTGCCTTGTCCATTTGGGTTTGTGTCCAATATGGTGCCATCTGTCCAAAACATCTGTCATCCACTGAATACCAAAATCAATTTCCACAGTGAAAAGGTTCTCTAACTTTCATGTATCTTTTTGATGACCTGTTTTGTCTCACTCAAAAAAGGTAGAGCTATCCATGGGCAAATTTTTGAAGGCTGTATTACCCAAGCCTGAAATTAAAATAATATTCATAATCTGAAAAATAAGACTATAAACATTCAACTGGGTGTAACCTTTGAGCTATCTGGAGGACCGAGAATGGCTGGCTATTAGCTTCAAGAAATCATTAGCTTCAAGTCCAAAGGTAGTCATTAAGTGCTAATGTCTGCTGAGCTCTTCCAAGGCCAGAGTGTTCTCTCGCCAAGCAATTGCTGCATTTCCATGAGAAAAAATTTATGAGATATTTATCACTTGTGAGACATTCTAGATTGTTTATTATTTTAATATTCAAATTATGACATTTAATGGTTTTTAAAGTCCATGTATATAGACCCACAGAGTCAGAATGTTCAACTGATGTCACATCTTTCATCTCCAGAAGCTGTGAAGCTCTCCTGAGGCTTGGGAATGTCATGGCCAAGAATGGAGAGTACTCTACTAGGGATTCATGTCCACTCTCTATCCAAAACAGAGCAGAATATTTCTGCTGGTCCCTTTTCAAAAAGAGCTTCCATCCTGTACCACGCTTAACTGGACACCACAATGATGCAACTCAGTTATGAGATTTCCTGGTAGAGCATGCAGGAGATCTTGTGGCCACAGCTCCCAGGATCCACACTGTTCATCCCTGCCTCAGTATATTTCCATCACCAAAAACACCATTCTATGGACCAGTTTTGTTAACACCACCCCACCAAAAATAAATAAATAATTAAAGAAGAGATTAACCTGGGTTTTGGTTCAGGTTCGATATCAGGCGTGACACCTTACAATGGCTTTCTGATAGCAAAGTCTGGTAGCAATGCACAGCATCTCATGGTGGGCAGAGGAAGCGTATACATGATCCTCCCCTGGTCTCTTTTCTTCTGATAAATCCACCAGGGACCAATCATGGGAGCCATAGTCAGACAACCTTATCTTACCAAAATCACCTCCCAGAGTCACCACCTTTAAATACCGTGAATACCATGGTTAGTGATGTTTCCATTCACTGGAGATGAAATTTCACACAGGAGCCCGGGGATCTGGTAATGAAAATATCTCCAAACCAGGTCAAGCCCAGCTCTTGAAGCAAGAGAGCAAGGAAGGACAGATAGTGTTGAGGGCTGGCAAACCAGACAAAGACTATCTAAGAACTATGAAGCCAGTGAAGTGTTTCTATTCTAAAACTGAGCAATGGTTTCCTCCACAACACCAGAAAGAAGATAACCAGAGAAGAGTTTAGGAGGAAAGTTGACTGTGAAATGTTTTCAGAATGCTTAATTATTATTTTCTGTATTTCCTCAAAAATTCTTACTAATGTTAGCATTATACTTAGTCATAAGATCAGAAAGAAGGAGAGGAGGACCTCCCCTATCAGTGGACTTGGGGAGGGGCATGCATGCAGAAAGGGGGGGAGGGTGGAACCTTGAGGGGAGGAGGGAGGGGCTTATGGGGGGATACAAAATGAATAAAGTGTAATTAATAAAAGTTAAATAAACAATTTAAAAAAGTCATCTCATTAGCTAGCATTCAGGGGCTGCTGAAATACAATCAGAATCTGACATAGAATAGTAGCATTCACAATAGACAAGAGCCAACCCATGTGCCTGCCCATCAGCACTGAGCAAAGAGAATGTGGTATAGGTGCAATGGACTTGGCAGAGTGTTAGGCATCAAGAAGAGTAAACTTACACCATCAGCAAGTACATGACTAGAACTAGAGATTACCATGTTACGCACAAACTCAGAAAGACAAACTGTCCTGTTTTCCCTCACATATAGAAGCCAGATTTTAAAAAAGACATAAATATAGAAGAGAAACTGTTTGAGAAAAGGAAAAGGGACAGAGAACGGATTAGACAAAGGAGGGTTTCAAGGCAGATTTGATTATTTACATGTATGAAAGTGTCACAGTAGGACCCACTGTTTTCTACAGTTGATATATACAAAGAAAAGATGAATGAGAAAAAAATGGTATCTGAAAAAACAAATCACAAGCAAATTGTATAATTGCACATTTCTTCCTGAATGGTTGAAGTTGCTCCCACTCTGCCCACTTGCAAGTGCATATCTCAAAGAGTCAAGGAGCAGGAATTCACTGAACTTGAGACCCAAGAAAAGCAAGCAACTCTCCTTTGCCCTTTCTTCAAGAGAGAGCTATATCACCTCCAGAGTACATGCCTTCCAGAACTAACTAGCTGCCTGAGTTCAGGGTTAGCTATGAACCTGACACACAGTGTGAGGGGACAGGGGCAGCAGGAAAGTGGAGGCTGCTGCTTGCTCCTTGGGGAACTAAGTCTGAAACCATGGAGAGATGCAAGGTACCACGGTTTCTGTTCCAAACAGGATGCACCCATCTTTGGATCTTCTGAAGCATCTCCACTGTGAGTAACATGTCTTGGGTTAGGAACTCTGTGGCTTAATCTTCCCTCCTGGTGACTGTCAACTCTAAATCCAGATGCATTTTACATTATCACACCTGAGCTACAAAGTAAAGATATTCATGAGACACCTTTTTATACATTTGCCCCAAAGCAAAGGGATTCTGAATTGGCTTTAGAAGTGTGGGTATGCATGTACCTGTGCGCGCGTGCGTGCACACATGTGCGCGCGCGCACGCACACACAAACACACACACACACACACACACACACACACACACTTTAATTAGCTTAGTTTCCAAAGTCATCTTCCAAACAGAAAATGTGTCTGTGACTTCAAGCGAATGGAAACACTATGAGCTCCATCCATACCTACTGATGTTGCTTCATTAGGAAGACATGTGGTAAGAGAATGTCAAATTGATACTATCAGTCCAAAGGACCCCCAGGCTGAGTGCACAAATGAGAAATAAAAAGTCTTTGAGGGTCTATTGAGGGTGTACAACTACAGGAAATGAGAAGTTCCTTCTTCTTTTTCTTCTTCTCTCCTTGTCTTCTTCCCTGTCCTCATCTACCTCTTAAAAGTCTGTCTATTCCTCCTCCTCCTCTTCCACTGTCTATTATCCCTATTTTCGGTCAGTGAAATGTGTCACTAAGTGTTCTCCTCTTGGAGTAGGTGAATTTTTTCACAAGGAGTGAGAAGGCCTGGCTGTCCTCTGCTTTCTTTATGACCTGAAGAAGAGTGAGTGCTGTGACTCCAACAACAACAACAACAACAACAAAAAAAAAAAAGAAATAGAAAAGATTTGATTTTTGTAATCAAGATATACACAGTCAACCCATCCAAGTCTGGAACAGTGTCTGAGTCTAAGCAACCAACACATGACTTTAGAGCACTCTGTCCACGGGTATTAAAAGTTCAATCTTGTGCTTTTCTTCTTCTTTAAAGTTTTTATTTTGAGAAAACTACAGATTCCCATGCACTGCAGCACCACCATCCAGAACGATCTATACTCCAACCATTCTACTTCCTCAATGACATCATCTTGCAAGCTGAGGCTTCCACATGACAACTGAAATACGGACCTTGATGTCATCCACCAGCATGTGTTGTTCTTTGATAACCAATTTAACTTTTTGAAAGAGTAGCCAACCTAGGATTAAGCCTCAGGCTGGATGATTAAGATGGTACTATGCATGTTTATGTCTTGGTGGCTGAGTGGTGAGTAGCAGGCACTGCCCTCGAAATGATCCAAGCTTTCTCACAATGACAACATTTACAATGGACAATGAACATTTTTGCATTTTGTTTCAGCTTAGGATTTCCTAAAATTAAGACAATCGAGTGTAATGAGAGGCATATACCAAACACCAACATGCCGACTTGAAAGCTTGCTCTTCCAAACTGGAAGCCTTGAGTAGACATCAGAACAACTATCATGTAGTGGGAGAAATAAAGGAAAAGGAACAGTAGAATGGACAGCATTGCACTGATGATGGAATATCTGTTGGATTCCCTGGCACCTACCATAGTCTTCATCTGCCAGCTATGGTTACACAGGGAGGAGATCAAGAGCAGAATAGCAACAATGAAGATGAGCAATGGAAGTGTGAGCCCAAGAATGAAGACCGAGAGTAGTGTGGCATTTATCTGTCCAAACTGAGTTGCATTTTTAGAAAAAAAGCTTGTAAAGGTTTGTTTAGGAATTGTTGTAGTCTCTCTGCTATGGATGATAGCAGTAATAGTTGAACAGAACACAGACCCCAGAATCAACCATGGTACCAACCTAGATATCCTCATCTTCAGCCACAAGAAGAATGGGTGAGGGATGGTAGCAATCTTGGCACAGTAGAAAACGCCAAGCCATGTGGCCAACCAAAGATTCAATTCATTTATAAATAAGACAAAGGTAATATTATCAACAAATAAAGAGTATTTCACCAAATATAGTAGACTCAGTTGTACAAGGAAGACACACATCTGCAGAATGATCCGAGAAGTTGCCAGGCAAGAAAGAAGCAGATCCAACGGGGCCATTTTCCTGTGTGTGATCAAGTCAATAGCACTGACAACCACAATGAAGCCACTTGCCAGGACCCCAGTGAAAAACTGCACCATCACGGCCAGAAAGAGAAAGAGCATGACACCTTCCAGCATTTTAAAGAGAAAAACCAATGACTTCTTTAAATGATGCAAGAGTTCTGCACAGGCTCTTCCATTTATGATTTCTGTTTTCTTTCCATTAGACCAGGTCCCCTTTAGAGGTGATGCTAACACGGAAGACAATAGAAGAGGAAAGTGGAGCTCATTTGTTTACTGTTCTTCCTTTTCAACTCAAAGACAGTCAAATGAGGAAGAGATACCATAGAAACAAATTGTGTCCTACTGATAGCTTTTGCATTTTCCAGGTCTGCGTAGGTTTCAAAGTCATCATAAGTAAATGGTGCAACCAGACACCTTTAGGTGGCTAGTGAAGAGCTCCTTCATGGCTAGCCTTACTTAATTATGATTCTACTTAATGCTATTGAAGCATCCTCAAGCAACATGAAAAATCCAAACAGTTTCTCTCATAGTGATATCATCAGAGTAGGAATGTAAGATTCTACACATTAGTACCCCAGACTGCAGAATCATTAATTCAGGACAACCTCAAACACTGTTAAATAATAAACCACACATGATAAAAATACAAGCAAGATAGATGCTAGGAAGATGCCTCCCTTGGCAAAGTGCTTGCCTCACAAATGTGGGGACCTGAGTTTAATCCCCCAGAAGTCGCAGTTTTAAGAGAAGCCAGCTTTAGTGATCACATACTTACCTTCCTTCCAGCATTAGCGAAGCAGAAACAGGCTGATCCTTGGGTTCATGTGTCAGCCAGCTTAGCAAAATCTTCAGTCTAATGCTTTCCCTACAGATCCATTTCAGCCAAATCTCATAAAAACAGGTAAACCACATCCTTGAGGATCATGGTTGGACTCTGGTTTTTCACACAAATGAACACCCTCCACCCTCGACATAAACATGCAACACACATGTAAACAGAGTTCAGTAATACAGTTTGCATGTATGTACAGACACTGGGCAAAGCCTAAGGAAGGTCATGCATGACAAAATGAAGACTCACTCAGGATCCACGTGGATCACCATCTGCTGATGATCCAGGGTCTGAAACCTTTGTTCTATTTTTCTTCCAGAACAATGAACAGCTGGGAGTTATAAGGGCAAGTGATGGTTGCTGCTACAATTGTCCCACAAATTAGAGAAAAACAAGCGAGCATTTAATATTTATCATGTGCCACGTGTTGAGCTAAACCATATTTGTTTCATCTGCAACTATACTGACATTTTGAAGTGGAAAATTGTTTGATTTGGTGGGTGGAGGAAAGTCCTGTGCAATGGATGCAGGATGGATCTCACAGACTTGACTCTGACTCTTAGACGTTACCAACACATTACATCTCCAGCCTGTGACAATCAAAAACATTTCCAGATATTACCAAATGACTCTGGTGACAAAACCACCCTGATTGAAAACCGCTCTGCCAAAAAAATCAAGAACAATGCAGCTTCCAAGTGTCACTCTAAGGTGTGGTAGTTTGAATAAAAATGGTCCCCATGGGCTTTTAGGGAGTGGCATTATTTGAAAGGATTATTTGAAAGACTATTGATTATTCTTTGAGTAGATGTGGTCTTACTGGTAGAAGTGTGTAACTGGTGGTGGGTTTTGAGGTTTCAAAAGCTCAAGCTAGGCCTGGAGGCTATCTCTTCCAGCAGGATGTATCTGCCTGCCAATCAGGATGTAGAACTCTCAGCTACTCTCTAGCACTAGGTGCCCATGTGCCACCATGCTTCCCACCATTACAATAATGGACTAAAATGAACTGTAAGCCAGCCCCAATGAAATGTTTTCCTTTATAAGAGTTGCTGTGCTCTAGCTTATCAGGTATCTTCAGGATGGTTGCAATGTCCTTAGCTGTGGCCTAGCAAGGTTACTCCTCTCTCAGGGCGAAGGGGAAGCTCATGAGTTCATGTCAGAGACAATTCCTGTCCCCCTTGCTAGGGAACCCATTTGGATACTGAGCTACCATGGGCTATGTCTGAGCAGGGGTTGTAGGTTATATCCATGCATGGTCCTAAGACAGAAGGAGAGGAGGATACCCCCTCTCAGTGGACTCAGAAGGGGGCAGGGAGATGAGGGAGGGAAGGGAAGATTGGGAGGGATAGAGGGGGAGGGCTACAGCTGGGATACAAGTGAATGTATAAAATTATTTAAAAATAAAAAATATTAATAAAAAAGACACACACAAAGAGTTGCTGTGGTCATGGTGTCACTTCACAGTACTAGAAACCCTAACTAAGAATGAATTCTGTGTTCAATATGACATAAAACTAAGTTCTTTAGACAAATCATCAGCAGAGTGAAAAGTGAGGACATTTTATAGATGCTAGGGAAGTTAAAACTTCCAACTTAGTACTTAATGAAATATGCTTATCAGACCCTGGCAACAAGGCATACATCCTTCTGGATATGCGTTGCTTTTCTCTGAAGGATCAGGAAAGATTCTCACTAGATCCTTAGTTATAGACAACAAGACAAGGAAGGAAGAAGTAACAGTGGCAGTCACTCTCCTGATGACACAATTGCTCTATGAGTTTTTAACAGTTTCAGGCAGGGTTGCCTCATCTTTGATGAGATGGGGGAACCAACTTCAATCAGAAGTTCAGGGAGGCAGTTTGGGTTGGTCACTCTTACACATATCCAGACTGGGGCATGATGATGGGACAAGACTCATTCTTCTTTGACTGTTGAAAGGAAACACCCCAACTGCAAATCACTTTTATTTTGCATTTTGCTGACTAGGAAAGCAAAATGGAAGAGGCTCCATCCATGGAATAGTGAAGCCAAGAATTCCAAACACCCATGACCTGGACTTCCTTCCGTCAAACTTTCTGCCACTGTACTTGGCATGCCAATTGCAAAGAGGAGTGATCTGCCTTAAGCACCACCAGACTCAGTACTCACTTACTCACTCACTCACTCACTCACCACCCATCCATGCCTCCATCTATCTATCCATCCACCCATTCATTGTTTGTTTTGTGAAGCAGAACCCAAGTCAACTACAAAGCAGAGGGTGAGACACAAGTCATTTTGCAAGTGTTGTTTCTGTCTCTTCCTGGACAGCAGAGGAACTAACAGTTCCTCTGTTCTAGCATTGCCATGACATTTACAACATGAGGCAGTGTTTGGTGTGACTGCAGCATGGGTCAAATAGTTTACTACTGCACACTGGATCACAAGAATGCACAGTAACACAAGTTAAGGAAGGCTTGAGTCCAGAACAACAGTATAATCTTTTAGCACTGACAGAAAAACAAAAAAGGGAACACACAGTCTTCAGAGGACTCAGCCATGCCCAACCCTATTTGTGTCTTGCTTTGTAGCATCTGTAGAGCCCACTGGATTCTCAGACAGTTTATGGTAACTTGTTAGAACCATCCTGAGGAACAGAGACAAGAGAGTAAAAAACAATTCGCAAGGCTTAAGATACAGCTTTTTTTTTGTCATTATCGCTTCAACAAGAACAGCTGTCAAAAGCACATTGCCCTAGGACAAGCGCTGCCACTAGCTTGTCTGAGACAGCCCTGTCTTCGTGTGGTGTGTGTTTGTGTGTGTGTTTATGTCTACACAAATGTGTATGTGTTTGCCAATGTGCATATATGTGCAGGTGCATGTGTGCAAAGGTGTGCGTGTGTGTGCAGGTGTGACTGGAAATCAGAAGTCAAGCTTGGGTACGTTGTTCCTCAGGGTCCCAGCCATGCTGTTGTTTCAAACAGGGTCTCTCAATGGATTACAACTCACAGATTCAGCTAGGCTGGCTCTCTAGTGAGCCCCAAAGACCCGCCTGTCCCCACCTCTCTAGGAATGGGATTATAAGCACTTGCCACCACACCTAACTTTACTTATCTGGGTTCTAGGGGAAATAAACTCAGGTCCTCATACTTGCAAGGTAAATGTTTTATCAGCTAAGCCATGACCACAAAAGCCCATCTGGCCATTTTATTGGTGGTTCTTGAGTCTGCCCCCAGGGCCTTGCTTTTGCTTGGCAAGGGCTCTACCACTAAATTACTCCTCCATCCCTGAAACATCTTACCGTGAGGGAACGTGAAATAAGAGCAGGTGGGGTTGCTATTTGAATGACACATTCATCACCAGGAACTGGCCATCGGTTATTGAGAAGAAATCTCCAAGGTCAGGTCTTCCAGTCCCTCTGAGTAGCCAACTCTGTCAATCAAGGTCGCTGCAGACCTTGGCTGCATTGTTGCACTAGGTAAGAGTGAGATAAACATTTTAATTATCAATGAAACAAATGAAAGAAAAGCTGCTCCTAAAGAGAGAGAGAGAGAGAAAGAGCTCCTTTGGGTCCTTCAGGAGGTCTTTTAGTGGAAGAAAGCATACCAGAGAACCCCTGGTACTGAGACCAAACCACACACGTCTGGCTTCACCTGTCAGTCAGCGGCTCAAAACGTTGACAGTTTTACATGGACAAATGGCTTGGAACAGATGGAGCAGGACCCGACGTGGAGAAATTCACATGATCATTACCCTGTATTACCCTGATTAAATGTGTTCACTCGCACTCATCTGTAATGAGCACTCATTAAAGGAGACAGCACTAAATATTCTTGAGGGAACTGACAGGCGGAAGAAGTTGCTTATTTATATTCAAATCAGTTAGCTGCTAGAAAGAAAGTGTGATCTTTCTCACATGCAGCCAAATGGATGCAGGCAGGTTTGTCAGCAGGTAAAGGCTGCAGTGTTCCGCACGCAGACATTCAAGTTGATATAGTCATCATGAAAGTGAGCAATAGTTTAATGCCCTTCCGAAGGAGGGCTTCACACTTCATTATCAGGGAAACAGTTCTCACTTTTAGAAACATGTGCATGTATTCACATTCTTGTATATTTAATAAGATCTATCAAATAAGAAAGAGAATCTTGGACGTGAAAAGTAGGCATTCTTTCTGAATCTTTCCTGGGCCCTGGCCTGGCCTATGTAAAGCTGATATGGAATGTATTTCACTTAAAATTCACAACATGGTGGTTGAAATACACCAGGCTCTTTCAGACTAATCATTCTTTAAATTCCATACTT